GACAGAGGCAGCTGCAGGGGCTTGGCGCACTGGAAAGCGAAAGCTGTCATCCAGCCAGCCGGGACCTGCGGGTCCCTTCGTCTCCCGGCTGTGCTGGGCTTGCAGGGAGCTATTCCTGTGGCTTACGGGAGCGAAGGTTGGCTGTACAACGGCAGGGAGACCCGAGCGGGAAGGGAGAGAAACGGTGCTCGGGCTGTCTCGTTATTTGTTTTATAGGCTGTCATGAAACTCGCCTTAAGGGTATTCAGAATGAATGCTAAGTGGCCTTTAAAACATAAAGGAGATAACGCAACTTGTGAAAGGGGGTATAGTTAACTAAAATAGGTGAAAATTCCTGCATTAGTCAGTGATTGGGAGAGCATTATTCAAGCTGGACTCTAGTATATAGCTACTTTATACTATAGTATTTGATGGAGTTGTTCTCCATAAACGTAAAGTACCTTAGAAAAGGTAAAACTCAGTGTTGTCAATTTGGCTGCCTAGAATGGCTGCCTAGCTGAGAGTTCTAGCAAATACTGAATGGTAGTAGATGGAGGCTGCCCTCCTAACTAGTTGGAGAGGAGAAGTCATAACATCACAGGTATCACTTTGCTGTTTTCTCCCCACTCAAGTAAACAAGGTCTTCCCAGATCACATTTTTTTCCTGCTTATGCTTGCTGATCTGTTCTTGTTACATAAAAATACTTCCCTCAGTTTTCTTTCCAGTAGGAATGGTATCATATATTAATTTTGGGTGATAGTTTATTTGTGTCAGGAAAATGTGTGGCTACAGAAAAGGGGCGGAAGAAAACCAAGACAGCACTGGCTAGAGCAGTGGACAGCTGAGTGAGTTAACATAGTTTCAGTGATCCTTTTTCCATCTGTCAAGGGAACCTTCTACAGGAAGGCTGTGATAAACAAGTAGGAATGTCAGAGTGCCTATCCCGCAAGAATGTACTGAGGTTTTATTCTTTTTACTCACAAAGGTCATGGACTAAAGGTAGACTCACCTCATTTATAAAGATGCTTTAAAAACCAAACCCACAATCTGTAATCTTCTTCCAAAAGGTTTTATTTTTTTTCCTTGTGCAAATATTTGATTTATTGTCAGTGATGTTTTATTCTTAGAATTTTACCTCCATGATAATTAAATAAATGCTGTTCAGATGGCTATATAGGCATCCTAATCAATAAAACCACTTGGCTCTAGTTAGGCTCTAAATTTCTTACATCTTCAAAGTGGGGAGCTTAAGGTTGTGCTCAGTGGGTTTAAGCTTTATGATCTGAATTTGGTTCATTTTCCAGTATTTTTGCTATCCAATTTCATAAGTATTACTACTTTGTTAATCAAGCATTGCTAATCTCTGGCTCATGCTTGCTTGTAAGTGATCACAGTGTGTCTTGTTGGCTTTATCAAATCTCCCCCGGCCTGTAACTGCAGTCTAGGAATGTGATTTTCATCTGCCTTTTATACTTATCCAGGTAGATGGAAAATTCCAAACAAGCTCTCTGCACCGTTAAAGACTTCATATTGGTGCAAATATTGGTGCAAGGTGAGGAAAAAAAAATCCCAGAACACTGGTTGTCTGGAACAAAGTTCTCAGGGAGATTGCTAAGTTAGTGCTGCTGAATAGAGTATCCTATGGATTGTTAGAAATTGATGCTGATGATTCTCTACCTGCGAAGGAGTTTGAGAAGGGGACTTTGTAGACAAGAAACAATTTGCCAGTACTACATGTCTATCTTGAAATGATGTTCTGGTAAGTGCTCCTAAGAAGTCTTTTTTTGGCCTTCTCACTGTGAAACATGACTTCTTCAGTTCATCTGGGATAGGTATGAAGCACTGAACAGAACACTTATCCAATTCAAGTTCAGTTATAGAATTATACAACTTTTCTCTTGTTCAGTTTTATGTAGCAGAAAACTGAATAGCTGATGTTACTAATGTGAGTGATAAACAACATGTTAATGTTCTGTTTAAAAAGATCTCTTCTAGGGGACTTGAAGCTGGGTCTTTCAAAAGCCATACAATTACACTTAATCTCTTGAATTAAATCTAAATGTGAGTTAAAGTTCTATATTATTTTTTTTATATTGTGGTGGAAAACATTTCTTAGCATAATAAGTTTAGAGACCTCTACAAAGGTTCAAGAACAGTAACATATTTGCTAAAACCTCTCAGTGACAGAAAATCTCCATCAAGGTCTGAGTGACAGGTGTTAATCCTGAAGTTAGCAGTCCTAAATCTTAAACAATTTCCATACAACATATATGCTTTGCATATAAACATTTCAAAATTTGAGTTTGAAAAAGCCTTCAAGTAGCTCTAATTACGTTTGTATTTCAGTAAGAACTGTAAGAAACAGGTGAGAGGTCCAAGATGTTGCTTGTCTGCATTCTGTCCCAAGCTTTTGGAAAGCAATTGGAATGTTAACAGTATTCAAACTATTTGGTTCACACCCTTTGTTCCCATGCTTTGAAGCAGTCTACCTAAGGATTAATAATAAACTAATGCTTTTATCAGAGCTTAGGAGAAAAAATATTTTAGTGGTATCAAGTGATGGATTTTCTGATGGATATTTATGTATTTTCTAAATATGTAAATAACATGGATTTATATGAGTTTACGCTGACATTTTAGACAAGAGTTTCAGAGTGTCTAATTGCAAAAAACTTTCCAATTATTTAGCAGAAGTAAAATAGGGAGTACAGCTCCTATTCTAGAGGTTTTGACTTAGATTTTTAGAAGGACCTTAACTGGACATCAGAAGAGAGAAAATCATGTTTTGGTGAGCTTTAAGCCTTAACCTTTCATTTTACAAAGCAGTCATAAATGGCAGGTCTTGTTTCTGGTTCTCCTGTGGTCAACAGGGAATTTAAAAATCTTTATTTTGCATGAGAAGGCCCTGAAAGGTGTCTAGTGGTGCAGCTTCAGTGAGGGGTGAGAGTCAAAAAGGAAATTGGGAAAGAATACAGTGGTAGACTAGAATAATTTTCCTTTCTCATATAGCCGTGATATGATTTTTGTCTAGTATGATGCTAACAAAAACATCTCTTCTCCTGTCAATAGCTACATGCTATTTATCACACACTAGCTGTTATGGAGGTGTTCCAGAAATTGAGTTGCTGACAGTCATTTGGAAATGGTAGCTGAGTAGAATTCTCATCACCCTCTTTCTTTTCAGGGGAGAGTGTATAGGACTTCTTACAAGAGATGTAACTCCTGGCTATTCTTTTTTGTCATCAGTTGTTGTTACTGTGTATCATATCTAAAACACTAAATCAGAAATACAGAAATCTGAAGTCTTTAAAATAGTGGTGCCTGCTTTCTGTGTGTGTGCTGCTTAGCTTGAAACTGAGCAAGCTGCCCCATCTGGCTGTAGAGAAGTTGCCTTAGGTGGAACTTTATCAAGTTGAGCAAAGTGCCCAACCCTGTGCAAAGAATTAAAGTCGCTGAGGAGATAAGGGGGGGGGGAACAAAACAAAAAAAACCCAGTTGCTGGCAGGTCATCCTAAAGGAAGGAACAGTTGAACCTAAGCAAATAGCCTGGAGAAAGAACAAACCTGAAAAAAACATTGCCTCATTTGTCACAGGTCGGACAACTGCTGTGCAACCTGTTCCCAAATAAGTGTTACCAAGTAACAAAAGCATTGTACGTGTGCTGGTGAAGGCTTTTAAAACAATTGAATCTGAAAATGACACTCAGTACTGGTTTAACATTGTAGAAAAGCACACCTTTACTGAGTAAACATTAAAATTCAATTCAGTTTTATTTCATGTATTTATTAACCTCAACTGAAGAGGCTCTGAAAAACCAAGATAATCTATAAGGCATTCTTTCAGTGTTAAAGGAATTGTTTTTGTAGATAGTCCATGATGGGAGCGAGTTAAACCTGTTCTAAAGATATAGATGTCTAGTGTCTTGGGTTGTCTAAGATCTTGGTAATGTTGACACCATGATGCCAAACTTAATATTGGCTTTGGAGTTTCTGTTTCAAACTGCAAATTTAAAAAGTCTGCAGTACCTTTCTGCTTGCTTTGTGTCCCAAGCTACCTCCCAAACTTCTTTAGAAATGAGCTTTATGATTTTTAACTCAGTGTCTTAGAAGCCTGGAAATGACTTTAGTGAACCTCAAAATGAACAAACCTGTAAAGGAAGAAAAGGGATCAGGTGTAAAGTCTCTAACCACATTCCACATGCAGAGAAACTGAGTACACTTTCCATCTGTAGTTGGAAAAAGACAACAGGAGTAGAGATAAGTGAAAGAGAAGGAAAGATGCTACAGCAGAGGTCTACAGTGGCATGAATGATGTAGAGGTCATCAGTGGAGGCTGTGTCCAGACTGTGACTAGCCACAAAGGAATTAAGGGAAAGACAGTGGAACTGTGAATCAGATATTTTTTTTTTTCTTTTTAATTGCCATTTACTGAATTAGATAGCCAAAGAATGTTAGAGACCAAAAACATAAATGGGTAGAAGGCAGAGTTAGACAATTTTTTAGAACAGTAGGCTTATTTCTGTATTCTTGAATATTAAGATGCAGCTTACAGCTCAAGAAGTCCCTAAACCGATGATTGTTTTGTGCTTCCAATGTAACTTGTTTTGTGTAATCTTTCTTTGAACGCAGCTTCTGGCAACAGAGTGGCTCAGTGTAATGAGGTTTCTTCCTATGAGGAATAATTGCCATGCTAATTTGTGTTTCTTCTTTCTTTCTTTTTTTTTTTAGTCTCCCACAGTCAAATCACCCGTCTGTACAGTCGTTTCACCAGCCTAGACAAAGGAGAGAATGGCACTCTTAGGTGGGTATGGGCACCACTTCATCTGTCCTTGCACTGACACGTGTCTGTAATGGTGGCGTGCTGTTGCGGGCTGCCTGCATGTTTTCCTCCTCTGGTGAATCAGTGAGGCTGTTATAACAGGTTCCCTCATACCCTCTGTCTACATGGATGTTCAAGTTTGTTCTCCTTTTATGAAAGGTCAGGAGAAATCTGATTGTTGAACTGTAGAGCTGAACTGCTCTAAATACCACTTGTCTTTACTGTAGTGCCGAAGGCTTGTAGCAGCTCATATAAGAAAGGTCAGAGTTGGTCTTAAAACAAATGTTCAGAAACATTAAACCTTATTTTTAGATTGATATTTCTTACCTTTCTTTATATGTTACTTAAAATAATTATTACAAGAATGGTTCTACTATGTCTTACTTATCCTGACTTTCATTTCAAAAAGATCATTTATGTTTTTGGGTGCATGGGCTCTTAATTGTTTCTGATATCCAGTGTCTTTTAACACTACTTTGATCTCCAAACCCTTTACTATTCTTAACTTTGCACTTCTGACTGAACACCTGTGTCTATTGGTATGCTCAGAAATAAAAAGAAAGAGCTGGAACAAAGTCACTGTGACTAAACAAATACATACTTTGTTCTTTAAAGCAGTAGTGCAGGTATTCCAAGACCTTTAAAGTGTTTGCCTTCTGTAGTTTTCAAAATGTAGACAGAAGTGAACCTGTTTCTTACAGCTTAATAAATTAAATAAAGTTTAAGTCTCATCTTTATCTGCAAAATATTTTTTACTTTGATGGACTGAGTCTGCTGGAAAGAGTATTCTCAGCTGTAAGGTAAACAGATTGCCTGTGAAAATATGTCTCTGCCTGCTGTCTTTGTTCTCTAGCCTTCCCCACTATGGTTATTGTACTGTGTGTTGCTATTGATTTGCTCTTTATTTACTGAACTAATTATGAATTCTGATTGTATTAAATTGCTTATTGTTCTTCTCTTTTGATGTTGCCTATAGATTACATAATATTATGGAAACATATGACAAATAAGAGCTGTCCGTGATTGCACCAGAGGTGCAATTTTGCAACCAACATAGTTGGTCTAGACCATACTGCCACTGAATCATGGAATACCAGGTTGGAAGGGACCTCAAGTATCATCTGGTTCAAACTCTTTTGGCAAAAGCACGGTCTAGACAAGGTGGCCCAGCACCCAGTCCAGCCAAATCCTACAAGCATCCAGTGTTGAGGAGATGATTCCAATGTCTGATTGTTCTCATTGTGAAAAAATTTTCCTCTTGTGTCCAATTGGAATCTCCTCAGGAGTAACTTGTACCCATTATCCCTTGTCTTCTCCATGTGACTCCTTGTAAAAAGGGAATCTCATCTTCC